CCCGGACTGCTTTGCAAGCGGGGCACCCCTGAGAACTGTGTGTCCGGGGTGGGGGTCGGGACCCTTTAAGCACAGCCCTCGGCTAGCCTGAGACACCATCTCCATGCTCTAAGTCCTCCTCTTATGCCCTGCCGGCACTGCTTCCGGCCATCCTTAAGCCCTGTTCAGAGTCCACTCAATGTGGACTTGCTAGTTCGAATTAGCAAAACGCTAATTCGAACTAGTTTTTAGTTCTAGACGCGTTAGTTCGAATTAGCTTAGTTCGAATTAACTAATTCGAACTAAGTTAGTTCGAACTAACTCTGTAGTGTAGACATACCCTAAGATAGTACGTAGTAGAATCCTCAGACCTGATATAGGACCTTATTCAAAGCCTACTGAAGCCAATGGGACTATTTCTGTTGAATTCAATATGTTTTGGATGAAGCTTCTAGTGCCAGATTTCCAGCCAGGTCTTGCCATGGTTTATTTATTGTACCTGCATTTCTTTGTGATTCAAATATCACAGGGATGTCTAAAGATGTGATTTGCAAGTGCAAAAGCTAAGTGTATAATTGGAATTTAATGTGAATGTAATATATATATGTACAATTATTTGAAGAAACAAAATTGTATCCATGCAAACTGAAGCTACTCCTTAAAATCTATATGTTAATTAGCAAACATAAAAAATGGGAAAAATATCATTCAACCACATGAGTTTACAGTTTTCACAGTCTATTGGAAGTTTCAAACTATCTAGTGGTACATATTTTTGGCAGATGAATGCCTAATTTCCATAGGCTTCTTGGAAACTCCCAGCCTTAAACCATAAAACCTATTCTGATTTTATACTCACTGAAGATCCCGGAGGGCCTTGTGGTCCAACTAGCCCTGGGAGTCCCCGAGGACCTGGTTCACCCTAAACAAGAAATGAGAATAAATTTCCTGATGTTAAGAAAATGCAAGAAAATAAATGATCCACTATGCATATGCTGGAATATCTGGGCACTAGTTACAGACAAAGAAGCAATGTTATCTCTGAATTTGCTTCTTTTCACATCTCAGTTCAATGTTATTCAATCTAGGCTTTTGTTTCTAATGTCTATATATAAATGGAAAATCACCTTTTAAGTATAGCTTTTATTCCTGTGGAACCAAAAACGTAAATGGAAAAATTACAGTTTTTCTACTGAAATAATTTCAATTATTTCACAAATATTTGGAGAAATTGGTGACAAGTTAGACAGACCAACTTATGAACAAAAGAACTGCCATCCTGGACCAGACCAGTTGTCAACCTAATAATCCAGAATACTGTCTGTGAAAACAGACATATCCAAAGGAAAGCACCATCAGGCTGTTAGGGTATGTCCATGCTGCGATGTCAGCCCAGAGCTAGTAGAACCTGAGTTAGCAGACCTCAGATTTGTTAACCTAGGGTCTGAGTATTTGCACTCATTTGTAACACTAGACTAGGAATTGTTGGACCCCGAGACACATGCTGTGGCTGCTCCTCTATACAGCACTGTGTGGGCCTAAGTCTAAGCACCCTTATCTCAGACTTCCTAGCATCCTCCCAAAATTTAGATGCTCTAGTCCTTTGTCCATGGAGTAGTATGAGAAAACTTGACCATCCACCAAATGTGAGTGTCCAGACAACAAAGAAAGCCAGCCCATGATTGTGTGATATTTTTGTTGGACTCCCAGAACACTGTATCTACACAATAATGTAACAAGGATTGAACTCTGATTTCCAGCTTGACTGAGGCTTGAATCCTCCATTCCCATGCGGCCGTGGCATCCCAGGTCTGTGAGCTGTGTTAGGGTGATTTGTGTGTAGATGGAAGACAGTATAGACTTTAGCCTGAGACTGTATAGACTTTAGCCTGAGACTGAACCCTGAGTTTATCTTGCAGTTTAGATATACCATCTGTGAACAATTATGGAATAACCACTCACTGGAACACTTCTTCCTAACTCCCATCAGCTGCTGTTTGGCCAGTGTCTTGTAACATGAGGATATACGCGTTTGTATACTTTTATCATAGTTTTCTCTGCACAGTCAGGATCTTTTCAGTCTCTCTTTATATGGAAAAATATCTAATTTTTGGTGCCCATCTCTCTATTTCTAATAGTCCGTTCTGAGATTGGGTGACCAAAACTGAATAAAGTAATCCAGGTTGAAGCATATTTTGTGTCATCCGCAAATGGTGCCATTTCAATGTTTTTTGTATACTTAATATAGTAAATACCATCAGTCCCACTAAACAACACTAACCCTTACTGGCTTGTGGAAATTTGAATTTTTAAAAAGATAGAAAGAACAACTTCATATCTCTGAACTTTACAATACAAACTGAATATCACACTAAGAACTGAAGTCATTTTCTGATGTAAGAATTAAGAACTATAATACATTACTTTTTTAACACACACACACACACACACCACTGTATAAATTATTTTAAGTACCTTGCATCCAGGTATTCCTGGTAATCCAGGGTCACCTTTTCCATTAAATCCTGGGTCATATCCAGTTGCAGGGTATCCCTAGACAATAAAGTAAAGAAAAAAAGCCTGAACAACTGTTATATTATGAAATTTCTTTGTATAACTCGAGGCACTAAAGCTTACAGTAAAATATGTAGTAGAAAAATCCAGCATCAGAAATCTCCTAATGCTGGCTCTTGCCCATTACAGACAATTCAACCAAAAAATCATTATTCAATACATACTACATAATACATACATATGATCTGTACATCTTGGTCTTTATGAACTTTCTTCATTTTAGACCTACAGGTAGACCTGGTCTTACTAAAGTTTTCTTTTAAGAATATATTTACAGGATTTTATTACAAGAGTTCTATTACTGGTATTTTTGCATAACCTGCGACAGACTACAGAGAGGCCGGCAGACTAGAGCGGCCGGCAGAAAAACCGCGGTAGGGGTTTAAATCCCTTCCAGGCTAAAAAAAAGAAACCGCACACAACTGGAGCCTTTTAGGCTCTGGAGCGGTTTCCGAGGGGCCTAGAAATAAGGCTGTTAATTGCAGAGTTTTGGTGTCAGAAGCCCTAAAAAGGGCTGGATCCGATCGGGTCCCAGGGAGCAAAGGATTCGATCCCACGGCGGTTGCTTAATCAGGCGATATTCAAACAGGACCCCGGGCGGATACGACACTCGAGCTTACCTCACCTTACGGCGCACACAGACGTACTCTCCCCCTCCCAAGACATCCCCCAGCGCGGGGGAATAGAAATTTTCTAAGTCCCGCCCGCTCGCTCACCGCCCGCCGCCCTCTCCTCGCTCATGGCGACCGCAGCGAGACCGACCGACTCACCCACCCCGCGCGCATCCTCCGGCCTACCCTCCCTCGCCCTAGGGAGGCCCAGGTGGTGGTGGGGCGCTGGGGCCCTCTGGGCGGCGCCCCGCTCGCCTCCCTCCCGCCTTCCTCCCTTCCCGGCAGCCTTTTTCTGACTTTATCTGAATTAAACATGATTGCACTAGGATAACTGTGGCCTTACACTGGATGAATTAAAATAAGAATCTGGCCCAAAAAGAATTGTATCACATAATGAAGACAACTTGCTCTCTACATAGGAACAATTCCTAGAGGAAAACATTTAAATGGGGACCAAAATCTGTTTAATTTCTTTTTATATAATTTACATCAAAAGTCATCTTTGCTTTCTTGTTTGTTTATTTGTGTCCCACCAGGGTAAGACGGCTGCTCTAACAGGATGTAGTCAGGTCAGCACACATCATCATGCCCATAATCAAAGTCTTTGTTCAACACTGATACATTTTTAAAAAAAATGTAAGAACTTCTTAAAGGAAAGGGGTCTGTGTTACTCTGGTTTTCAGCCAGTGTAATGGCACTGAAATCAGAATGATGTAGTGAAAAATCAGACGCAAAATATTCTGAATCATGTTGGGTTCAACTGCTTGACTAGCGAACATAAGAGTGAAGGGCTCAACAGGCTTCCTTTGACAATCTGTGCAGCAGTCAGGCATATTTGCCTCAACTCCATAGAGCTGTGGTGTCCAACATGCCAGTCACTAGCCACATGTGACTATTTGGCTAGCTGAGTGTGGCTACTTTGCCCCACTATAGTGGCTGCTGCTTCGGAACTGGTTGGACACCATGGCTGTAAAGTGTACAGATTGCTATCTCCAAGCAACTTGGAAAGGCATGACACCTTCAAGGAGGTAGAGCAGGAAAAAAATGCCATGGCTTTGGGACCTGTGCACAGAAGGGAGTATTGTGTTTCATAAAGCTGTGTAGTAGTACAGGCAGTGGGACCAAACAGCCTTGCCAGGCCTCTGGGTAAGAGGAGTAGAGGCTAGCTTCACAGCACAGCTTTGGCTGGAAGGGGCAGAGGAGCGGTTGGCTTCCCCTAGGCAGCTTCAGTGTTGCCTGGAGTGTGGCATGCAGGACTCTGGCAGTGATTTACAGGGCTCAGGGCTGCACTGCCATCACTGCCACACTAGCAGAGAGCCCCAGGCCCTTTTGAATAGCTGAGTCCTGAAGCAGTTGCCACACCTATGCTCCCTCCCCCTGCCTGAGTACAGGCATTCTACAGTCTCAGTGCTTGGGCACTTGGCAGGAATTCTGCCTCAAGCAAAAATTCTTTCTGTAGCTACTCCTGTGGTGGGCAACATACAGCTATGTTAAAATGAAATAGTCCCATAATAACTAGACTCATCACTTGACTTTTCACAGTAACTCATCTTTATGCCTCCTTTCTTCCTGCCCCTTTAGTTAGCTATCTTCCTCTTCAAACGCACTCTTCCCACAATGATCTTCCTTATCAGTTCTGAACTACTTTGATTTGAACTCTTATTTAGTGTTGGTATGGCATTTACAAATATTTTGGGAGAAGGACCTAGTCCTTTGTTTGTAAAAGATACTCATACAATACTCGGTAATGACAGAAAATAAGAAATATTGAATTGTAGCAACAGATGAATGTAGAAAGCATATATTAGGTTCTGGCATTAGCTGAATTGCTTTTCTTCTGGGAAATAAATTCTCTAGTTGCAGTGATTGAAGATAGCTATCACAGTCCTTTACCAACAGTTTATACCAATTCAAAATTTGTTTTCAATGAATATTCAATGTAATATACCATGAATAACTGACCTTATCACCTTTGACACCATCAATACCCTAAAAAGAGTAAAATAATTAAAAAAAATATAATTAAAAAAGGCAACTGTTAATATAGATGATAAGGGCACAATCAAGACACGTAGTAGAGGCATACTTAAGAAAATGGCTTATTTTTATGAATGCATAAGGGAGCAACCTTGGAAAGTGACACAGTTTAACAGCTGGGATTTCAAAATTATTGTAAATTTGATTTGATCCTGTTGGAGCTGACTTTTTTAGGGGTGCAAGGGTACATTTTTAAAACAGAATATATATATTTACAAGCAGATTTTGGGCCAATGACAGTGTTCCATTTTTATTCCTTGTTTATAGATTACATTTTATATGATTTCTGTAGAGCAAACCGAGATCTAGTGGTTAAAGCAATAGGTCTGGATTCTTCTCTGTCATTGACTTACCTTATATTAGGCAGATTGGGGCCTACATTTTTTTAAACAGTATTTTCTAATATTGGGTGCCTTCTGTTTTTGAATGAGCATCTTGAGACACCCACGGCCTGAGTTGCAGAAAGTTCCCACACTTCAACCAAAGACAGTAAGTCCTGCAGGTGTCCATCACATGTAAACTTCAGAGCCAATGTGTTTCAAATTGGGTTCCACCCCAAATTACGTCATCCTTGAAATTGTTCTCTTAAGCTTTTCCTTCAGTTTTCCAGCCAGTTGAGAAACAAATATTATTCTACCTCACAGGTTTATGGTGGGGCTTAATTAGTTAATTAGCATCTGTAAAGGATATTAAGGAATGAAGGGATTTATATGGCAGAAATGTACATTATGATTAATGTTATTACTTACTGGTATTCCTGGAGCACCTACTGGCCCTGGAGGCCCTGGAAATCCTTGGTCACCCTGAGAGTAACAAACATCGTAACAGTTACAATTGTAATAGTTACAAGAGCTGCTGCATCATATTTTCATTATTTGATTAGCAAGTTTTTCCCTGTACTTCTAGATTATTACAGAATACACAGTTTCCTTTACTGGAAGCAGGACCGGCTTTAGGCCGATTCGACCGAAAAGGGCCCCATGCTGGCTGCTCTCCTCCCACAGCTCTGTGGTGTGCCGGGCGCGCTGCGGGAGGGGGTGTTGGCTCCGGAGAAGGAGCGCGGAAGCTTCCCTGGATTTAAAGGGGCTGTGGATCTTTTTTTGTGTGTGGTGGGGTTTTTTTTTTTTTTTTGGCTCAACAAAAAATCCTGGCTGCCGGGGCCCCATCGAAACTGTTCAAAGTGGGCCCCACACTTCTTAAAGCCGGCCCTGACTGTAAGGCTTGCTGAAAGTGTAGCAGAAGGTCAAAGAAAATGAAAGCTTGAACTAAAGGCTTTACATTTGCTCAGGCTGTAGTCCAGGACTCAAACTCACACTAAGAATAGAGGCCCAAAGGTTAATAGGTAAAACAGAATTTCAGGGTAGGGAAAAACAACATGGAAGACAAAGAAAAAATTGTCACACAAGTACTTGCAACACTTCCACTTTCCATTACTATTCTTGTGAACATAATTTCTCGCCAAAAAAATCAATGAGGTTACAAACTGCAACAAAAGAATGTTGCCATGAATTCGAGAAAATGTTTGAGGTTACTTCTGGGCACAGATTTTAAAGCCAACTCCGAGTAATGCCCATTGTCACCATGTTCTACTTGTTTCCTACCTTTGTGCCATTGCATCCTGGAATACCTGGACGTCCAGATGGACCAATATATCCTTGCTCACCCTAAATATAAATTCACAATTGACAGCCTTGTTATTGAACATGCATATTCCCTTGTAACAGTACTGAAATTATTTATGTGGATAAAGTATTTCACTAGGCTGGCTGAATTACAATTCTTAAATTATTATGGTGAAGAAAAAATAGCAATACTGAGATTGTTACCTCTAGGGTTAACTGACAGAGACAGTGCTGACTTTATGTTGGGGAATACTGAGATGCTGCATAAGTGGAGGACTCGGTTTATCTAGTTTAATTTTACTTACTGGAAGACCTGGGAGACCTGAAAAACCAGGTAATCCTGGCAATCCCTAATGATACAAAAAAGAAACAGAGAAAGAATTAATACAAAAAAGTTCACACAATAAATTTTGTTACGCCATTTGTAAGAACAATAAGCATCAACAGGAGATAACCTACCAGGGGCTTTTCATTTGACTACTACACTTATTTAAGTGGCATGTCACATATGACTGCAAACTGATACACAAAAGATTAATAGATTTTAAGGCCAGAAGGGACCACTATGATCTTCTAGGCTGACCCCTCTGTAACACAGGCTAATGCTTCATAAACACATGCATGCATCTCAGATACGCAACATAGCAAATTAAAAAATAGCAGCTACAGTTCTTAAAAAAAAAAGTGAATTCTGTGCCACATCTTTCGAAGTATAGTAACATAATGTGATAGTTGTATTAAATGTTGTAGAAAAAGCTGGTATTAAATCACTTTAATAATAAACAGGATACCTACTACTCTAAAAGTTTGCTTAAATACATACTTACCCTTTCACCTTTTTGGCCAACTAAACCTGGTAGCCCTGTAGAACCCTAAACAAACAGAAAACAACATGTATTAAATCTCGGTGCAATTTGTAATGCCAACATCAGAACATATAACTCATTTATTTTGTGTGTTTATATTGTTCATAGCTGTACATTACAGTAATTAAAATGAACAAAAATTCACATTAGTGGGCATAAATCCCAGCCTCAAGTGTGTCGTCTGTTATTGAGAAGGTATTTATCCCATTACAGGCACAAAAACCCCAACAAAAAACAGTGCTATTTGGGGATGTGGTCACTAGGCCCTGGTCTACACTAGGATCTTATTCCGAAATAACTAAATAACTTCCCCCCAGCAAGTTTGAATTTCTAAGCTATGCATCCATATTACCAAGCCTATTATTTCGAAATAATGAGCCATGGAATTCAAACTCTGCACTCCTGCTTTTGACGAGGAGTAATGCTAATTCCGAAATAGTAATTCCGAAATAACATCAGTGTGGACACTCCGGTGCTGCTAATTCAAACTTATTGGCCTCCAGGAGGTCTTCCACAGCTCCCTAGAGTGTTTCCAGGGGTTCTAAGTCCAAGTAGCACATCCACATTAATGGAGCCCACCTCAAACTAATTTTGATGCTTCCCTGTAGTGAGGACATGCTTGTTTAAATTTGTTAGATCGGGAGCTATTAAGTCGAATTTAGTAATTTCAAAATAGTTTCCTATTGTAGACATGACCTGAGAGAACTACTAGCTAACAAATCTGCAACATTACTGTAAACACAGCATGGATTTATACCAAATATCGAAGCATCAGCCAAACAAAATGCTGTTACAAGCAGCATTCATTTACATACCAGTAATTTGTTGTTTGAGGAAGTGATTTACTGATAACATAACTCTTTGACCAAGACAAATTTGAAAAAAATGAATTTGTAATAAACTAATTAAATAATTGCAAATATTTATCCTTTCTGCTCTTCCAGGACACAGTGCAAATCTCTATGCACCTTGACAATTCTTATGAATCAGTGAGAAGAGATCACTGAAGAAGCTTCCTTCTGCCTCTTTTCTTTTTACTATTTGTTGCAGCACCAGTTTGATTTTATCCATTTCTAATTATTTTAGCCACAGTTCTTAGAGAGCAAATGATTAAGCAACCCTCCAATCATAATCTGTTCTTGCATCTGTTGTCAATGGACAGTCTTAACACACACATTGCTCTATTCCATTGCTAATAAAATTAAAATTACATATAATACATTCTGGTTAAATGATGGACTGCAATAAGGCCAATACTACATTGAAAGCATAAAATTTGTAGAGGCAATGTATAAGGGAATGAAAGTTAGATGCTATTATGGCAATGCAGGAAATGTGTCCATACATCTTATGAAATCTGATTAATATTGTGAAGTTGTTATGAAAATCATTGTGTCATAGAAAGAATGCCTCTATGTGTAAAGAGTCAGAGTGGCAGTTGTGTTAGTCTGTATCTGCAAAAACAACAAGGAATCCTGTGGCACTTTAGAGACTAACAGATTTAGTAGAGCATACACTTTTGTGGGAAAAAATCACTTCATCAGATGAATTAGAGTGGAAGTTACAGAAGCAGGGGTTTATACAAGGAAGAAGTTGCTTATGTTAATGAAGCTGATCAAACCAGAACGGAAGAGGGTCATTCACTGCAAATGAGTAAGGACCCTCTAAATTGAATGCTGGGGGCGCCTCCTAGTGTTGATACTCCTCAATTCGTGAGGAATAAGGGAAACCAGCGGATGCATTTGCTACCATTAACATCCCACAATGGAAACAGAGCCAAGCTCGGTTTAAGGTATGTCAACTCCAGCTATATTATTTACATAGCTGGTGTTGCACACCTTAAGCTGAACTTCTGGGTCTAGTATAGATCTGGCCTTAATGTAAGAAGTAAAGCGGGCGGGGGGAGACGGGGAGCAGAATAAGACATAGTTCTGAAGCTATGTGGATTTACTTTAATTTGCACTCTTCTCTGAATTTGGTCCATAGGCTCTAGTGCTAGTCATTGAGCAGCAGAAGTGTAGTGTCTGTATCAAATACTCTCAGTATTTAGCCAAGCACCATTTCTGTAGATCCTAAGTACATTTTACAACACTTGAACAAAACTGTAAACTCTGAATTCCTCCCAGCCACCACAGACACACACATGTGCATGTCAGAAACCTACCTTGAGTCCCTGAGGTCCTAGAGGTCCCTCAGGGCCACGGAAACCTATCTGGCCAGGTGGACCTTGAATACCAGGGAACCCTTTTTCACCCTGTAAAAAAGCATACAAACAAGGCTTTAGAACCATCCCTATGTTTTCCTTCTGATAAAATAAAATTAGGATCTCTGGAATAATTTATTTGCCCATCTCTGTGTAAGATTATGATATACCCTTGCTTAATAGTTCCTCAACCCGTGAGTAGTACTACTGAAGTAAATGAGACTACAGGTCGGTTCTATTTACTGTGAGTATTGGTATCAGAATCTGCACCTTTGTGCTCAATCTTATTTAAGGCTCTTAGATTAATGGGCAGAGGATGTGGTCTTAATAATGCAGCTGACACACATTTCATGAGAGCATCTTTATTATTTGCTGAGCTTCCACCAGCCCCAGAATTCTGATCCTACTGAAAAACTCCAGAGTCCCAACTCGCAGATCTGCTGCTGTGTGTCTCAGGGTACGTCTAGACTACAGGGTTTTGTCGACGGAAGTTTTGTCGACAGATACTGTCAACAAAACTTCTGTCGACATAGAGCGTCTAGACACATTCAGTTCTGTCGACAAAGCAAACTGCTTTGTCGACAAAACCCTGTAGTCTAGACGCAACCCTACAGGCAATAACACCTTCTTTCGACAGAACTCTGTCGACAGAAGATGTTATGCCTCGTAAAATGAGGTTTACCAGCGTCGACAAAACTGCTGAGTTCTGTCGACGTTATGTCGACAGAACTCAGCGGTAGTGTAGATGCAGGTATAGTTTTGTCGACAAAAGTCCACTTTTGTCGACAAAACTCAGTAGTCTAGACACACCCTCTGTTGGTAAACCATTCCACTCCACTCCACCTCTATGCAAACCACAAAAAGAAATAAAGTAAGGGTGAAATGCAGCGTAGGTGGTTAGCTAGGATAAAATAGCTGTTTGCTTTAAGAAGTGATGTTTTATTGCCTCAGGTCACACAGTTTACTCTCCACAGTGGTTTGACTGTAACTTTTGACTGAAAAATTTCAGAACAGATTAATGGCAAGTTCGCATAACTAACCCATGACCAGGACGCAGAAGGTGTTTCTCTACACAGCAACGTTATTTTGGAATATCGGCCTTTATTCCAAAATGACTATGTGAGCATCTATACAGCAATTCTGTTATTTCAAAATAATTTTGAAATAACGGACAGCTTATTCCGACTTCTGTAAACCTCATTCTATGAAGAATAATGCCTCTTCCAAAATAGATATTTCAAAATAAGGCGTGTGTAGATGCTCCACTTCTGCTATTTCAAAATAGCCCCTCACTGGAGCCATTCGAAGTTATTCCTCTGGGGATTCTACATTAGGGGAGCCTGCCTTGGACTAATTGTGAGGCTTCTCTGCAGTGTAGACCTGCTATTTCGAAATAAACTATTTCAGAATAACTATTCCGGAATAGCTTATTCCGAAATAACTGCAGTGTAGATGTAGCCAGAGGGGGTAAACCACATGAACAGAATAACAAAGGCTAAGTTACACTCCCTTTCTCTGTTGAACATGCTGGGTTATGAGGCAGACTAATGCACAGAGAAAACGACTAGTTGAACACAGCACTCCAAAGAGCTTTAGCACTATTCCAGCATCAGTTCAAGAGGTGGCATTTCCACCTATTTTAAGGCCCCTTTATTAGGGTTGCCAGATGGTTTCAACAAAAATACCGGACACACTTGACATTACATCACAGTCTACATTACATCTTATTTAGAAAATACCAGACATTTATATTTTCTCTTTTATATTTTCTCAATTTGTTTCCCGAACAGAGAGCTCAAATACTGGACTGTTCAAAACCAGACACTTGGCAACCATACCCTTTACTCTGCCAGAGCAGCATTACCAGGGCCTCACAGCAATAGAGAAATAGGTCACAGGTCTTAGGTTCCCTGCCCCAGCCTTAGGTGAAAGAAACTTAGACATATAAATAATAATACCCTCAATTCAGTTTCAATACCGCTTTTCATGAATGCAGGCTGGTTGCAGTGGCTGGTATTTTCAGAACCAGATATGGAGTTAAAAGTAGCTATGCAATTTTTAAAGAGGGTTTGGGAGATGTATTTATTTTGGCTGGGTAGAGCTATTTTATACATTGTTAATCTGAAAGATTTGGTCTCTTTGGATGTGTCTAAACAGCGAGAGGTGGTGAGTCTCAGAGCCCAACCCAACAGACTCATGCTTGTGGGGCTCTGGAAGTAGGAGTGTAAACACTGCAGCTTGGGCTGGAGCCCAGACTCTGAGCCCACTCCTCTCCTTCTGCTTCAGACACCACACTCCAGCGTGAGCAGCAACATTTACTCAGCCACTTTTAGTGTGAAAACTAGTGTGTTGTCTCAGGCTCATAGTCATGGGCTGTGTAAATACACCCACACCCCAGTTTAGGAAAACATCCCTCTTCAGGACAGCATTTCAGCAAAGACTTCACTTCAAGCAGATGGCAACTCCAAAGGCCTTAAATACACATCTAAGCTCTTCTGAATAGGGATGGATCCCCCTGAATCAGTGCCTACATGAATAACAAAATAACCTGTGATGACATTTTGCCTTCCAAACGCAGAAAATTCTAGCCATGCCAATCTTGCTGTTATTAGAAGGCATTCTTATTTTAAAAGTATCAATGTACACAAAAATATTTGCTAAGGCACAGGAAGTATGAAGATGTTACACTCATACTAATTTTTATCTTAATTACTAACATTGGTGTCTTACAAAAAAGTTCACCGTGAGTGGGAGAGGAATCTGAATACCATTCATAAAATTCATATGGAACTGGTGATTGAACATAAGTATCTTACTACAGTTCACAACAGAGTTGCATTGGAGTTAAAAATAACAAAATTTGGAATTAAGCTTTTGGGGCAGAAAAATAGGCAATAAATAATATTGAACATTAAACATTAATATCAATAAAATATAAATAATAAAAACAAAAACCAGAAACATGTAAGCTAAGCAAGAAGGAGGGAACAGCTTATTAATTTTCTTGGAGCAAATTTTCTCATTACTTTATAAAAATACCTATGAAATGGAGTTTTGTTTCACAATGGATGAGTACTCTAGAGATTTCATTTCTGATGGAATTTGTGCCCAATTAATAATTTTGTTTTAAAGCATCACCTACCTCCATTCTTAACAAGTCATGAACATCATAATATTAGATTTATATGTAAAAAGAATACAAAAGGAGGGAAATGTAGTAAAGGTTTTGGCTATGGACAAGTGGAAATCTCTTACGCTGTGTCTAGACTACATCCCTCATTCGACAGAGGGATATAAATTAGACACTTCAAAATTGCAAATGAGGTGGGGATTTAAATATCCCGCACTTCCATTTGCATAATGCGTCATGGTGCTCTTTCGAACAAGCGCCATTTCGAAAGTAAAACTGTGATCTAGATGTGGTTCTTTTGAAAACAGCAGACTTTTTCAAAAGATCCTGTACTTCTCAAAAAATGAGGAGTCTAGATCGCAGTTTTACTTTAGAAATGGTGCTTTTCGAAAGAGTGACACAATGCGATTATGCAAATGAAGCATGGGCTATTTAAATCCTCACTTCCTTTGCAATTTCAAAGTGTCTAATTTACATCCCTCTGTCAAAAGAGGGATGTAATCTAAACACAGCCTCTATCTACCCCTTTAAAAACAATAAAGATGTTTAAGGACTCTCTGACATGCAACAAAATTTAAATAAACAAAGAGGCCAATTTTCTTCTAGAATAACTCCTGTGTATTTGGATCCAAACTCAAGAGATATGAAATGTGTTATAAGGTATCTGTGGGGTTTGTATAATAAACTATTAAATGAGGCTATGTCTACACTGCAGAGCTATTTCAGGATACCCCTGGTACCCCAAAATAGCTATCCCGCGTCTTAAGAGCAAGCCCATTATATCAAAATATAACTGGCTCACTATTCCAACATCCCTGTTAACCTCATTGCATGAGGGTTAAGGGATGTTTCGGAATACCGCTTTATTTCAGAATTTGGCGCTGTGTAGGCATTGCCAAATTTCAAAATAAGCTATTTTGAGGTAAGGGTAATGTGTAGATGCATCCTGAGTTGTCTGGTTATATTTAAGAGACAATGTGAGTGATGAAAAATCTTTTATTGGACCAACTTCTGTTGATTCAAGAAGAGAAAAACTTTTGAGCTCACATAGACCTCTTCTTCAGATCTGCATGAGTTGGAAAGCTTGTCTGTAATACTAACTGAAATTGAACCAATAAAAGTATTTGCTCAACCCACCTCTTCTCTCTAATCTCAAGGTTCAACATGACTACAACAAACTATAACGGTTACATTCAACACATTTCAAGGAAAATGAGAGATCATCATGCAATACCGAGATCTGCCACTGGATGGGGAACAATACTAACTCAGATGGAGAATTTTATCATTACAAGGCTGAATATCTTGCCACCTCACTCTATCCCTGCCCTGTCTAGTACCCTGGCTCTGACACTTAGAGCTTCATTCCCAGATCCTGGCTCTGGCTTGCTCCCTGGACTGGATAACTCAGTTCCTGATTTGGGCTCTGGCCACTATACTTGGGCTCTGATTTGGGTTCTGCTTCAATTGCTAAACCAGTCTCCTGTTCCAAAGGATTAGGCAAGAACAGCCTGATTCTTAACATACTGAGTAGTATGCTTATCTGTTGAGAACCTTGCTCATTTTCATGCATCATTATTCGCTTTATCCTACTTCTTGTATTATATAACTGACACAGATCACCACAGATCATCTGTGATCTTGAAAGGTTCTTAACATTCTGCCATTTTTAAAGCACATTAAATTATCTGATTATGATATCCCTTCCTTGCTCATCTTCAGACCCACCCTCATGCTAATCACATATTAATTAGCTACTTAATGTACAGCAAAACAATCGGAAAATTCAGAGATATTAGCAGCTGTTTAATTTAGGCATGTAAGCGACTAATCAGATAGTCAACTATCCGATAATCAAAAGCTTATCGGATAGTCGACACACTTGTTCAGTGTTTCTCAACCTTTTTTTTAATAAAGTACCCCTTTTAAGAAAAGATTATAAGTACCTCCAGTACCTACAGTTTTCAAACACACAATTTTTTCTACCATTGCAACACATTTGTTTAAACAACTTAATTGTATCCAGGCATGCGATGTAATGTTTGGGTGTAAAAAGTACAGAAATAATAAAGCACTGTAAAACTTAAAACAAAAATTCAGTTTTCTCCAAATTTCAGTTGTGTTGACGTACCCCCCAGACTTCACTCAAGTACCCCTAAGGGTACTCATACCACTGGTTGAGAAAAACTGCACTAGTTAACAAGTTGCTTCCCCCGCCTTGCTGTCTCTATCAGAAAGAGGCAGCAAGGGTGGGGGGAAAGAGAAAAGGGTCCTGGGGGGAGCCGGCTTATAAGCCAGTTCCCCCCAGCTGCAGCTCAGTGGGAGGGGGCAGTGGCGCAGCGGTGGCATTCCACATTTGAAATGTACAAGAGTCCCCACTGGGGCTCTTGTACATTTCAAAGTGGAAGCACCACATGGAGTTCAGGGCCAGGGGGGGACTCTGAGCCGCTGGTCCCAGGCTCCATGCAGTGTTTCAATCTTTGAAATGCACAAGATCCCCTGCTAGGGCTCTTGTACATTTCAAAGGTGGAACGCCACTAGCTCTTGCTACATTTTGAAGAAGAAGAGCCCTTATCAACTCATTGAATAGTCGATGGAAATTCCATCGACTAGTCAATTAGTTGATTAATCTAATTTTAACATCCCGGGTGAAATTCATTACTTATATTTTTCCTTCAATGGGTGGTTTCTATTATTTATTCTCATTTTCACAAAATGTCCCTAATTTATCTTGATCAAATTAAAGTTAGATCAGACCAATTAAAAACATGAAAATGTACATTTCAGGATTTTAGGGAGAAACAACTGTACTTTTATTTTTATTTTGTTTTGGGGGGAGTGGTGCTTGTGAACCTCTGATTTTTCTAATATGTCTTTTTATTTTTACTTTAAGCAAGTTTCTATTTGTGCAAATTTTGTGGAGTGCATTTGCCCAGCTAAAATGGATAATGAGAAGTAGGTTTCTTCTTTTGAGATAGTGAACCAGAGGAGAAAAGTCCAAATTTCTTGTAGTTAAGAACTTGGGGAGATGGTTTTAGGAATAGTCTGGATTACAGAAGTTATTGAGATCACCCTGCAAGGATACCAAGGCTGCCGGAAACCATGCTTGCAGGCTGACTACTGGTATCAAAGCTCTGAGACATAGCAGCATAACAGTAAGGTGCCCTAAGTTACAAAGCAAGTGGTGACAGAACCCCTTACTGGTCTGGGTGATCCCCCAAATGTCACACAAATCTTGGGACCAACACAGCTTCGCAAGTGCAAACAAAGTCACTTGCTGGAGTTCAACTTAAGATGAACAGTTTGTCAAGAGCATGGAGAGGTCGGGAGAAGTTGCTCTTCTGACTTTAGTAACATGGAAATCTGAATAACTAAATAAATAGAAAAGATTGTAAAACTTTTATGTTGTTCCTAGTTAAACAACATGTACAGAGTTCTTCTGAGGTAAATAAGTGAATCCATCTTATGTTGTCTAAAGCAGTGGTCCCCAACCTTTCGAGGTTGTCAGGCGCCAGGGGGCGTGGCCGTTTGCCCGCCGGGCACCAGGGGGCGTGGCCGTTCACCCACCGGGCGCCAGGGGCGGGGGACACTTGCGCCCCAGGGGCGGGGGACACTTGCGCCCCGGGGGCGGCCCCCCCCATAGCTGCATGCCCGGGGGCGGCCCCCCCCATAGCTGCATGCCCGGGGCCGGCGCTCCCCCCGCCAAGCGCTGCGCGCCCGGGGCCGGCGCTCTCCCCCGCCAGCGCCTGCCACAACAGGGCCCTGATCTCAGCCGCTCCCGGGGCCGGCGCTCACCGTATGCCATGTGTCTGGGGCCAGCTCTGGCACCCTGCATGCGCCCACCGTGTTGGGGACCACGGGTCTAAAGACTCCTTTACCAGAAATATCTGTTTGGATCACCCTCCAGTAAATTCATTCTGCCTGTCATGAATATGTTATTAATTTGTACCAATGATTTATTCAGTAGGGAGAACAGGATAACATATTTAATCTCTTACCTTATTACCTTTCATTCCATCACAGTAGCAGTGACTTTTACCCTTGCAGACACAGTTCTGAAAAAGAAAAGATAGGAACTTTACAATGAATGGAATTATGTTAATGTGCTGTTTGATGAAGCACTTAAGTCACTAACATCAACTGTTTCTGCCTTTCAGAAGCAATCCCACAATGCCCAGGACTGGCACCTAAATTGGTGCAAGTGCTCCTCATGAGGTCGCACACTGCCGATACAAGAAGCATAGTGTGAATATGCAAAAAGCAGTTTAATTACTGTGGTGGCTATAGATCAGGTTGACTTAATTTTGTAACATAGCCTTGCCTTAAGAGAGTGTGTGAAAGAAACAGTGTGTGGTTGGGAGAAGTAGGAATATAATTCTGGGTTACAATATTAATTTTTTCTCCTTTGGCTCAATCTAGTTACAAACGCTTTCTCTGGCTTCCTCATGTTGCATCTACATACCCACTCTGTATCTCAGACCCCTATACATCATGATAATGAAGGGCCCGATCCAGTATCTCCTTATGGACCCAGTCCGCAGCCACACATGAGCAGGAACCACATCCTGTTACTTTCATGAGTGAGATATCAGGTTCTAGCACCCCTGCCTATGCAAATGTTGCCAGTGTACTGAATAGTATCCTTAGGAGCTACTAGTGGCTCCCCTCTGAAATCCCCTTACCCTTTGTCCTATCTTGCCCCTTCTCCCACGCCAAACTCGCCATGGCTAGGGCTTTCACGGCTGTGTGCCTAAGGGAAAGTGAGAAAGCATTGTCTCTAACGTGCATAAATCAAGGTTATGAGCGCATTCAAAATAGTTCCTCTGTTTCTTTAGCTTCTGCAGATGTGCCCTTGAGAGTCTCCTCCTTCACATTGCCGAGCAGCTCCATCTGATAAGGAGAATAACTAGGCTGCATAAGGGCAAGATGTTCAGGAGGTTCTGCAGTCATCTGCTGCTGTTCCTGATAGCAGGAAAAGGGCATGGAGACAGACTATCAATGACAAACTTAGAATCGACAGCTGGGAGAGGAAACAGGGGCAGGAGCAGATGATACAGGGTCTCGAGAACCAAACAGATATGACGAGGTCTCGGCCTGTGCTGCAGACTGAACACATGCATGTTCACCTCCCCTTGCAGCCTATTATGGAACAGTTTTCCATGCCCTCCACAAACTCCCTCCCTAAGTAATCAGTAACTCCCCACACACATTCCTCGCATCAAGATCAGGTCAGATGGGTCCAGGAGGAGCACGTGCTCCTATTGAAATCTGGAAAGCCTCCAAGGAGGATCCACTGAGCCAGAAAACCAACTGATTACTTGGGAGAAATAAAAACGGAGGCAGGTGTAAAAGTTAAAGGGCCAAAACAAGGGAACTAAAAGGGGACACCAAACAGAGAGGCCGGACAGTGCCCACTGCCCCTTGAAGGCATCAAGAGTGCCAGCGGATGCTGTCCAGTGGAACTCTGCCCAGATGCGTGAGTGGATGCAGGCGTGGAAATAGGCCCCACGGTGGCAGGCCCCTCCCTCAGCCAACTTCTACTGCCTGGTCTTATAAATGGCCGTTTTGGCCATAGACAGGAGAAGGTTGATGAGAAGGTCCCGCAACTTAGTGGAGCTATGGATGGGGTGTGCAAAAATCTGCAAGTGAGGGGAAAAGTGCAGACACAACCTCAACAAGAGGCTCTGGAGGAGCCAAAAGAGGCTTACAGGAGGGTAATAGAAGACAGGTATATTAGCCCCAGACTAAATAAGCTTCCTTTCCTAGGGTAAGCTAAAAAGGACTAATCCAGAAGAATCTGACACTTGCCAGAAATAAATTAGGGCCGATAGGCCAATTAGGGCACCTGGAATCAATTAGAAATGGAACCAATTAAGACAGGCTAATCAGGACACCTGGAGCCAATGAAGAACCAGTTGGTATTGGTTAAAAAGACTCCCCCTTCTGTTATCTCACGGCAAGGAACTTGGGGTAAGAAGGCACTGTGGAAGGTCTGGGTGGTACAAACATTATGAGAAACCAGCAGGAAGAGCCTGTGGTAAGAAAGGTGCTGGAGAGGTGATAGGGAACTAGCCCAGGGAATTGTTGCTGTCACACAGCTGACACTGGTGACATTACAGACAGCTGCTATCACAGAATTCCTGGGTTGGGACCTGGAGTAGAGGTGGGTCCAGGTTCCCCCAGTTCCCCAACTTCCTGTTCCCCAAGCATGAGAGAGTTGATCTGGACAGTGGGACACACCATAGGGGAGAGACTAATGGGAAAAGGGTCTGTCCTGTCCCTGAACCACTCGGAGGGACAGTGGAGTTTACAGGATTTGGTCTCCTTTCTGTTCCCCATGCTGACTAATAATAAGAGTGGCTAAATAAAGGGCAAGTTTGTGCCCCTAGGGAAAGTATTCAAACCGAGGGCTGCTGTGAACTTTTGAGGTGAGAAATCTGCCCGAAAGAGAGGGAGAAAAGGCTTTGACTCACCATGCACTCCATCCCTAGGGCCATGTTTCCCAATGACAGCTGGGCATTCACCCAACAGCAACAACCTCAAAAAATGCTTTTCACTGCCATCCCCTTTGTAGGAAACAGAAATGTGTCTACAGATGTTTAATAAAAATGTACTTAGAGAAAGAAAATGAATCTTTTTGTCTCCTACACTAGGTGGTTGCTGATGAAATTTATATACAGTGGCAATTGGTGTATTAAAAGAGTAAAATTAATGCACATGCAGCAGTCCTTATAAAGGTCATACTACGGTGCAAGAAAGCAATGCCTGGCTCAGTGCATTACAGAAAGACATGTATCTGGGGCTTACTGTAAAAATGTTCTTTCAAAGCCCTCCTGATTTGAATAGCCTCCCGCTGAGCACCTATAATGGTCTGGTTTCTGGCTGTTCAAAAGCAGCTGCCAGCCAATCTATCTCAAGGCTCAGACCCTATAGAAACTTCCCTCCTTAGCTTCACATATGTTACGGAGAGGAGAACAGGTTGCTATGACCATGAAAATATTTTTCTCACTGAGGTTTGACCTGTGAAAAAGGCAGCACCAGCAACCCTTTAATCTGCACATTCTGCACCTGCCGAGCTTGTATTTGAAGCACTCCTTGCTGCAGTCAAGATTTCCAGTGTAAGGCTTTATGTGCCATGGGAGCAAGAGGTGGGCTGGGTTTGCCAGATTCATAATTGGCATTTATACCTTCCCAAATGGAATCTTCTGGTGTGAAAACAAAGTCCCTCCTTGCAGCTTTCTTTACAGGGTCCAGTGTTTCTGAAAAGGCATACATCAAATGGCTCCAGAGGTATAAATTAAAAGGAAAGAGGTTAAAGACTGAGGCAAAAGGAAATGTTCTTCTGGAAGTTTCCATAAACTAGAGTGAAAGTAATATTACACTTTGGAACCAGATTCTTATTCAGTATGCTTCAGGTAAAAGATGTTACAAAAATCACAATGTTTGTTCAACAACTATTTTTCCTCCCACACTAGTTTTAAATGAATAAAACTCCCTAAGCTTCAGAAGAGTCACTCCTGATTAACACTGGTGCATGAGAGACTAGTTTTACAAATCTCTTGTGTTAATGGCACTTTTAGAATACTTGCTACTGAAATTAGTAGCAAAACAGACATTAATTTCAATGGGAACAGGGGCAGGCCCATGAATTATAAGGAACAATCACAAAGCAAGCGTCACTAATGCCATGTGACCCATGACAGCAGCCTATTTTCCACCTGTAAGTAAGAGAATAGACATTAAGTGCCCCTATCCCACAAACACATGTTATGAAGTGATTAATCTTTACTGACATGTGAGATAAGGCTATGGGAGTGCTAACTGCATTTAATGATAGGGCCTCATTCAATGGTGAAACTCCAAAACAGCTAATGGAAAAGCTAGTCAAGTTACACTTATTTCCAGTATTTTAAATATCATCATTTAAAACTAATTTGGACAGTATCAAGATCTAATATTGTATATGGATCTTATGAATGGAAGCCAAATGACTTTGTGTAAGGCACATATTGTACCAATGCACAAGTTAATATAGATTTCTCCATAATGATAAAAAAATCCCTTGACATCTACTCAATAACATACACTTGTATAGCAAAAGCTAGTACAAGGCATTACTGTTACACTAGACTGTGTTTTAAATGACAGAAGCCAGGAGAAATACATGGGTAGCAATAATAAAAATAAACAAGAGTGAAAATAATCCTTGAAGGAAGAATTCAAATATTGCTTTCAATAATATATCAATAACTAGCGGGGTAGTGTAGACATACCCTAAGACCCTCTCTACCATTTCCCTCCCTTCTCCAGAGCTTTCTTGGGCTGAGAATTCAGTGCTTAGCCACAGATCAAACATTAAACTGTCTAATTAATCATATACAAAAGATACAGATGGCAGAACTAACTAGCTATCATTACCAGCTTTGTCACCACTCAGGAGTGGAGAGTTTTGCGGGGCCCAGAGCAGCACAATTTTAAGACCCTCTCTACCATTTCCCTCCCTTCTCCAGAGCTTTCTTGGGCTGAGAATTCAGTGCTTAGCCACAGATCAAACATTAAACTGTCTAATTAATCATATACAAAAGATACAGATGGCAGAACTAACTAGCTATCATTACCAGCTTTGTCACCACTCAGGAGTGGAGAGTTTTGCGGGGCCCAGAGCAGCACAATTTTTGCGGGGCCCCCCTTTGGAGAAAAAATAGAAAAAAGGTGTCAAATGCGCAAATCGAAGGCTATTTTCATATTAAATGTGAATTGGGTAAATTTGATAGAAACTTAATTTAGTTGGATAATTTTTATTTTAATTATATTGTAAGTTATTCTTAAACAAAATTCTGCATCTGACTAATAATAAGAGTGGCTAAATAAAGGGCAAGTTTGTGCCCCTAGGGAAAGTATTCAAACCGAGGGCTGCTGTGAACTTTTGAGGTGAGAAATCTGCCCGAAAGAGAGGGAGAAAAGGCTTTGACTCACCATGCACTCCATCCCTAGGGCCATGTTTCCCAATGACAGCTGGGCATTCACCCAACAGCAACAACCTCAAAAAATGCTT